CTCTTACATAAATGATAAATCCACGAGTAGGAATTCCAGTGTGATTCTCTACAGCACTTAGCACATGGCAAGTGATCAATAAACACCGAATGAACTGAAGAAGGGAGGCGATGTGTAGAATACAGAGCTTAGAATGGAAGTTCAGGTTTGTGATCCAGGCTCAGCCAGTAGCGTGATCTCATTCAAGCCACTTGACTGCTTTGATGAGTTGTTTTCTCCATCATTTTAACATCTTGCCCCAAACCTGCTAACCTGCAAAGCTTAAGATCTTCAATTAAAGTTGTTCTAAATTGTTTTCAAAGAAAATCAAAATGTCAACAATGGCACAAATTATGCAGGTTATAGCTGTGTTACACTTCTGGAAGGAGATTTAAGAGGCCATATATAAAATACCAGTTACGTGGCTGCAATGAACAATGTGCGAATCTCAACCTGATGTATTTTTAGGAGAGCTGATCCACGTTCCTGGTGAAAGCTAAACACAGAAAGTCACATGGCCTCCTGCTTAAGGGGAAATGCATAATCAAGCCCACTGGGGAAAGGGAACAATCGCGACATGGTGCTGGCACTGATCCTGTTCCCAGGCCTGCCCTGCCCACCTTCTCTTCCTTTTGTCATCCTCTTCTGGGGGTGTACTTGCACTGGCAAGGAGTATAAAAAGCTGCTACAAAAAGACACTGGTAAAGTGATAAAGAATTGACCCAGTGGGCAAGGAAATGAATTATATAACTATAAAATGGTGTGTGGGAAAATGTGTACAGACAGAAGATGAATAAAGTGTGCATGTTACTAACTTGAACAGGAATGGAAAAATCTTATCATCTCACTTTTTCTTTGCCTTATTTTTCTGGATGGATCTGACAACTTAGAAATCCCTTCTTAGTTCACATCTTTTTGGTTCATCTTTCTTCCCTTCCCTTCAGTTTGAAGCCTTCATCCCAAACTTTGAAAAGAAAGAATCGCAGGACTGGGCACACACATTCTTGTGTGGGGCTCAGAGGAGGCTCAATTGCTGCGTGTGGTGTTCTCATCTGTAAGGTGGACATAGGACATAGTCACACCCATCCCTACCGCAGCACTGCACTGTGTGACCAGCAAACCACCTCTCTGGTCTCATCATTGCAGTCTCTGCTCTCAGATCCACCCTCAGTGTGCTACAACCTTCGTCCTTTGCCTCCAGGGCCCCAGCGTTTCCATCCATTTCTACTACCAGAATTCTGACTTGCCCACCCTGGAAATGTTACTGTGTTTACCCATGCTGCCATCCATTTTATTCTTCCTGTTTCTCTCCTCACTTTAGTTCAAATGAGTTAATCATTTGTCTATACATCTACAATCTGTTTTCTTATGATTTTTGAAATGCAAATAAAGTCCCATTCTTATGTGAGATTAAAGAATGATTCTAACAGTTCTAAATTGGAAACATGTAAAATTTTGTTTACATCATATTAATCAAATTTACAAACAAAAAGCCTAAAGTTTAATATTCATTTATATTCACTTTAATTATTGGTTTCTTTTTTCTTCCTCCCTGCAACCTACTTCTTTGGAAATTGCCCCAAAAATAACTGGAGTAAGAACAGTAAGACAAGTCCCAAAAACTCCTAACATTTCTGTGGGAAATATATTTCCTTGATACTGTCCAGAGCAACTCAATATCCTGTAAACTGACATGCTCTCATCTACACTCTGAAGAAAAAGTAGAAACAGAACGTTTGTTCCCCATGTGACTTTAAAAATGTATATTTTCTTGTTGGATGTGGGATTCTAAAGTATCTCCTGCAATATAATCCACACTCCCTGTGTCTAGCTCTTAGTTATTGTTTAAAAGAAAATAAATTAAGCAAAGCAAATGGTGGCATTGGGCTGGAGTTCTCTGATGTGAAGTTATAGATCTCAAAGGGCCTTTTACATCATTCTTACCTAGTTGCCATTGATCATCAAACACGCCCAAATGTTTGCAGTGTGTGAATACCTTAAAAACAAATCCATCACAGTGTCTGAGCACAGAGTCAAGTCAATAGTTGGCAAACATTCCTTTGTTTCTTCATAGTCACTGCTCTACTGATCTATCTTTTTCAATGAATGAAACAGACCCGAGCACATACAATAAAGGGAGGCAAAAATTACCAGGTTTGGACTTCACTTCACAGCCGGAAAGACTCTGTTGAGGCTGCCAGCAGGGGATCTGGCGTATTAATACCCTACCTGGAAGAGCTGACATGTTGGAAATGAGATTAACACCTTCCTGTTTTACATTAACTAAGGCTAAAGTGTCATTTGCCTTATCAGGAGAGAAAAAAATTCAATACTGAAATGATAGGGTTGCAAACAGGGTATGGTTTTAAGAAAACGTTAGAACACGAAGTAGGATTTTTGTTGTGGTGGCGGTGGTGATTCTTTGAAGATAAATACATTGTGCAAATAAAAGCCAAAATAATAAGTGTGACTGGAAGCTAAATACAAACATGTGTGGCTCAGCAACTTCCTTTCAGACCAATGGTAATTGACACAGTAAACAACTTGTCAGTGTGCTTTAAAAACTAAGAATAATAATCAATGAATACACCATGCCAACAAGTGTGAATGCCTAGGTAGTTGTTGCCGGTTCCAGACCAGCCTGGAAACAGAAGAGCTCATATAAATGATTTATTCATTCAGATATAAGAGAGCGCTTTTTAATTCCCTCACTTCACAATCCATCTAGTTATGTATTTACCAAAGATGAGAATTTAGACGAAAAAATATTTAAAATTCTAATTGGGAAAGCTTCAAAATCACTGTCAAATGCAAGTTGGAATGGGCTGGCGGAAGTGGGCCAGGAGTGGTCAGAGGCCTCTGTCATCTGATGGACCCAAAACAGGGACCAGGGGTCCCTTCCAGGCTCAGGGACCAGAGTATCCTCCCATTGTACCCTCAACTGGAGCATTCACTCCCTGTGTCAGGCTCTCTCCAAGGGACAATAGAGAAATCAGGAAAGAGAAAATCAGCTCTGTCCTTCAGGCCTTGTGGTCTGGTTGTGCAGACTCAAACAACATATGTATTACAAAGCCAGCCATGGGGCTGCCATTGTGGCACAGTGGGTTAAGCCTCCACCTATGATGCTTACATCCCATAAGGGCACTGGTTCAAGTCCTGGCTGCTCTACTTCCCATCCAGCTCCTTGCTACTGTGCTTGGGATGGCAGTGGAAGATGGCCCAAGTACTCAGGCCCCTGCCAACCATGCTGGGAGAACCGGATGTAGTTCTTGGTTCTGGCCTGGCCCAGCCGTGGCTGTTGCAGCCATTTGGGGAGTGAACCTATGGATAGGGGATCTGTGTGTGTGTGTGTGTGTGTGTGTGTTGTGTGTATGTCCTTCTCTCTGTGTAACTGCCTTTCAACTAAATAAAAATAAATGTTAGAAAAAAAAATCAGCCCAACAGATGTTAGGCTGGAGGCAAAAGAAGAACTTTCCTGAGAGGACCAGCAGGAATTTCCTGGTGGAAGTGTGGCATGAGCAGGGTTCTCCAGAAGGGGTCTATTTTTAACAGGTGGGAAGGACTTTCTAGGTAGCAGGGACCAATTCATTGTATTTTTTTTTTATTTGACAGAGTTAGACAGTGAGAGAGAGAAAGGTCTTCCTTTTTCCATTGGTTCACCCCCCAAATGGCTGCTACGGCCGGCGCTGCACCAATCCGAAGCCAGGAGCCAGGTGCTTCTTCCTGGTCTCCCACGTGGGTGCAGGGCCCAAGCACTTGGGCCATCCTCTACTGCCCTCCCGGGTCACAGCAGAGAGCTGGACTGGAAGAGGAGCCTAGAATCCGGTGCCCATATGGGATGTTGGTGCCACAGGTGGAGGATTAGCCAAGTAAGGCACGGCTCCAGCCCCCAATTCATTGTATTTTGACAGGAGAGCATTGTGGTTAAATAGACACCTGCGGATCTGCGATCTGGCACAGCAGTTTAAGCCATTGCCAGTGACTGCAGAGCCCATATTAGAGTACTTGTTTGAGTCCCAGTTGCTCCCCTTCCAAAGCAGTTCCCTGATAATGCACCTGGGAAGGCAGTGGACGATGGCCTACGTACTTGAATTCCTGCACCCACATGGGAGATCTGGATGGAGTTCCTGGCTCCTGGATTGAACCTGGCCCAGCCCTGACTGTTGTCATTTGAGGAGTGAACCAGAGGATGGACGGATCTGTTTCTCCCTCTCTGTGATTCTGCCTTTCAAATAAATTAATATTTTTGAAAAAACAGACACCTGAAAGGTTACTAAAGAAATCACCGACAGCACGTGGAAAATGATACATGTAGTGATAAGAAAAAGGAATAAAACCAGGATTTCAATCTGTTTTGAAATGTCTGTCACTCAAGTCTTAAGAATAAAACCCGCCGATGGTCTAGTTCCCATTCACTTCAGAACTTCCAATGCTGCAACCCTATGGGGTTTCTGAGAGAAGGAAGGGGAGAGGGCAATGAAAGCACAGATTCTGAGGCACGCCAACAACGTGAAGCTGGAATCCTCCTCCACCACTGTCACTCATGGTGCAGAGGTGACCCTGGTCTGCAGAGTCGGAAAGGGCAGGAGGAGGAGTGGCCAGTGAATTTAAGGGGGCACAAAAGAAAGCAGCTCGAGGTCTCCCCCAGGAGAAGCCAAAGGAAGGCATGTGGGTGGGAAGGGCAACACTGGTAATGACCACAATAAAGACAAGCATGGGCTGGGCTGGGCTGGGCTGGGCTGGCGTCTGGAGGACGTAGAGGGAATCGGGAGGAAGTGGTGGAGGTGACATTTACAGGAGGATCTGTAAGTGCTGCAGAGGCAAGGAGGAGGGAGGCTGTGAGGCAGGGCACAGGAGCACACCCAGGGAGCTCCCAGGAAGAATGGAGCACTCAGGCTGCGTCATCAGGATCTCTGAGACCCGAATCCTCTGGGGAAGTCGTGTCTTTCTTGTACTCGACGTGTCTTTCTTGTACGCGGAGCTGGGGCGGGGGTGGGAGGGGAGTGAAGGAGGAGGGAAAATTCACTGGAAGAATTAAGCAGTCTGAAAGGAGGGTAAGATTATGAAGATAAATGTTTACCTCTCCACTGCATTGTATCTCTGGAAATGAAACTGTTTTTTGAATGGTGCTGCATCGCTCCTGCAAGAATGTGGGCATTGTGAACAAATTGACTGTCTCCGATGATTTGACACATTTTGATTTCTGCTTAGGAAAATATCTGTTAATCCTATTACAAAGAGGAGAGGGTCCTGAGCAGGAATGTAAAGGATCAAATCCTTCCCCATCCTGTGCATACCCTCCCAATGCCAAGGTATTAAAACTCCCAGCTATTTCCAAAAGACCTGTGCTGCATCCCTGACCTGCCTGGCGTTACATCAAAATCCCTTCTCCACCTACCTATCCTCGCCTGGCACTGGCCTAAATCAGGACAAGACTGAACAGCCACCCTCTCTCTGCAATGCTAAAGCAGAAAAGAGACCTCAGTGAATGCTTCTCTCTTAATGCAACTTTTCTTCCTCCCTCTCCTTTCCATCCATCTTCCTACTCTCCCTTTCTTCCCTCCCCATCCATCCCTTCCTTTCTCCTTTATGTGCTTTGCTGTTTGCTAATATACAACCCCAGGCTCCTCTTTGTGTCTGGCAAAAGAAGCAGTTTTATTGTTGGGTAACTCCAGGGGGGATATGGTGTCTATGATGTTGTCTGGGCCCAGCCTCCCCGGGGAAGGGTAACCACCTCCATCCTGCTCTCAAAGGGCAAGGGCTGGCAACTGCACCCTTGGGTAACAGCCGAGCTCTTCAGCCAGAAAGTGCACCTGTTCCTGCCCAGAACTACCGTCTCTTCCCATTATGGTGTGATTCACGGTTGCAGTGCAACCATGGGGGCTGGGAACAGTTATCTGAAATTTGAATTTATGGAGAGCAACCAAGGAAAAAGGGAAATAGAAACTATTCCACCCCCACCCCCCCAACCACTTGCTGCAAAAGGTTCTTCATGGAGCAAACATCTACGTCTGATCAAAGGTCTGTTCATTTGTCTCAAGAGCCAATGCTGGAACCCAGCATGGAGCTAAAAATATGACTCACAGTCCTGGAAAATTGCATTCATTAAACTCTACCTACAGGTCCTCACCCCGAATCTGCTCTCTGCCAAAGCAGCGTGCTGCTGGTAATCCTCCTTTATAGATTAGGCAAGAAAATAAAGAGGGTGGGGCTGAAATGCAGGGGAAGTCTGCACACTTGTTTGGAAAAGAAGAAAAGGAAAGGCACAGGGATTTCTCCTTCTCTCCTTCATGTTGCGAGTTGCCAGGGTTGTCCAGACACCACTGGGAGACACAGGGCTTTTCAGGGTTCTCAGTGTTTGCGCTTGCATGGGATGAGAGCTACATGTAAAGTGGGACTTTAGAAGCCAGATCAAATACTCGCCTCTCAAACCCTGGCAGCTGTTATTCCTGAACTCCTCCTTGCTTCGTGTGTTAAGGAGGAAGCGATCATCACAGCTGACATTGCGGAGCCCTTACTGTGTGCCCAGCACTTTGGTGCGCTATTATGCAACCTCACTTCATTCTTCTAAAGCTCCCTGTGAGGCAGGCACTGGTGTCTCTGCCATTGTGAAGATGATGATGTCACAGTTTAGAAAGGTGGAGGAACTTGAGTAAGTGGCACAGCCGGGATTTGAACCTGAAGCTTCCAAAGCCTTGCTCTTCTCATCCCTGCCTCAGTGCCATCTCTAAGTGGTTCCCTCAAAAGTGTGTTTCAAGGTTTTCATTTAAGATTTTGGCAACTGCTCCTTGATAATAGTTCTGCTATTATCTTAATCTTTACAATTTTCTGCAATCAAATCATAGGGTTGCTTGAAGGTAGAGACTGTTTCTCCCTCACCTTTGCCTCCCCTGCAGCTCTTAAAACAAAGTATCTCACACAAAACAGGAGCTGAACAATTATTTGTTGAAACGCACTTTCCATTATCTCTGTATCTAAATAAAGCCTATCTAAAGGAGTCCACTTCCCCAACACTGGGATTTTCCTCTTCTTTGTAGCCATCCCCTTCTTCTTGTTTTGTTTTCGAAAGGTTGATTTTGAACTGGAGGGACACTGCAGTTGTCTTGTCACTTAGCGTGATTTGAGAGTGAGAGTCTGTGTAGTGCTCTAGCCTGCCCTCAGCAATCAGGCCGCACACTCACGAGGCTCTGATTGTAGGAGTTGCCTCATTTGCATTGATGAGGATGAGCCAGCTGCTGGCGCATACAGGACTGCACCTGACACAATCACCACGTTCAGGATTAGCACGGGGAATCAGGAATCCACTGCGCTGCATGGCAATCTCAGCCCCACATTAGAGTCACTCATGCAAAATGACCCAAATTTGCAATGAGCACAATTAGCAACCCAAAGATGCATGTTAATTTGGGGGCCTGATATTTCCCTACATTTCCTTAAATTAAAAATAATAAATACACACTTTTCCTAGATGAGTTTGAACATGAAAACAATTCAAGGGATTATGGGTTTGTAAAAAATGTGCAAACCTCAGGAAACGTGGATTTCCTAGGATAACTAGCCAACATCTCTCTCCCACCCCCAAGGTATTAAGTTTGGCATCACATAGGGTAGGGGGTTTATGGTGTCATGCCCCTTTCTAAGTCAATAGAAAACAGCTATTTACAAAGATAAAATAATAAAAGCAACAATAGCTATAATAGAGGGTCAAGAAAAATCCAAGCTTAAAAAAGGATTTGGCATTTTATATTATGTATTAATATTTCTGAAGCTATGTTTGGATCACACACAACCATACATCGCCTTAGTTATTTTAGGATGTTCTAAAAAGTACAAGAGATTGTGCTAAATTTTTGTTAAACAGAGTTTATAAATCAAACTGGACATTCTCAAACCCTGGGCTGTGTGTTTCCATATGTTTGCAGCCTATAGGTATTGAAATGTTCACCTTACACTTTAGGAAGAAAAAAAAAACCACAAATTGCAAAAATTGAATAAATGATCATTCGAAGCAAAAGCATGCAGTTCAAAAGCTAAACCTCCCATTGGAGAACAGAAAATTTAATGAGCTTTTAATGGAATGCAATGCTCAGAGTAGTAAATTATTTGTTAGTTGACGATGCAATCAGCATGCTGATTAAGGTTGCTTGGTTTTTTACTAAACATTAACTGAATGAAAACGGGTAGTCCTTGTTCTGCTTGGGGGGCTTTCAGGAAGCAAATGGACTTTCAGAACAGAGATTGTCAATAAAGGTGAGTGCACTCCAGGTGTCATTTGAATATGATGATAAAATACTAGTGATAAATATTTAAAAGCATTTTAAATCCACAATGTTCGCCTAGTGTATTGTGGACTCTGTTTAAAGAAACAGTGGGCCTTAGCAGGCCTAACAACAATCCCTCTATCTCTCTCTAGAAAGAAATATCTAGATCTGCTTTCTTTTATTGCAAAAGAAAAAAGGGGTGGGTGGGGGGTGGGTATGCTTTGAAAATATAAACCAGCATGGACTCAGGGACCAGGAACTGTTTGGGAGAAAAGAGAAAACAGACCAAAATCAAAACAAAGAAAAAAATATTCTGACAGGAAATAAAAGAGAGACATCTGTTCCTCTGGGTAGATCAAGATGAAAATTTAATTAAGCATTTCTGATATTCTGATGCTTTAAAATTATTGCTATTAGAATATTATATTTTTTAATTTATAAGTGATGGTATGAGGGCAAGAAATGTCTGTGATATTGGAGCTGTGTCCTGTCTAGGAGGTCTAAAAGAGAGTAAAAGAACAAAAATCGGAGATAAATTATGTAATGCTTATTTTTTTGTTAGATTGTTAATACAGATTTTATAAAATATCATTTATGATGTGTTAGTCAATCTGTACATTAGCCATGAATTATTGTTTCTGAGAAGGATTTTGTTACTAAATCTGTTTAAATCGCCAGATTTGTTCTCCCCCACAGAAAGGGATTTTGTTTGTTTCTCTCCCTACCAATTGCAGAATCATGGATTTGTAGGTTAATTTTTTTTCAACAGCTACAAAGTTCTTTTTCTATAAATCCCAATTAGTTTTTATCATCGGTGATTCTCTGGCAATGATCAGGTACCCTTAAAATCCAATAAATAACTACCTCTCACTTTTAACTATTCCTGTTCATGACCCAAGAGGTTAAAAGCCTTTGACTGGCATTTGACTTCTGACCTCATATAAATGTTATCTTATCAGTTCCTGCTTGTTAACTTGTATTGAGTGCTTGTCCCTGATGGCTTTTAGATAAAGGGTTGTGGGTTTTTTTTTTCTCCTTTTTTTTTTTCCTTTTTAATATATTTCCTACAGGAACTGAGCCGTTTGCTTTGTTCTCTGCCTAGTGCACTCAAGTCTACACAGTAACCTGCTATAAATCTGTTTGAGGCACCAAATATACATTTATTTATTCCCTACGTTATTTTGATTTTAGCTTTATGGGTGGGATTTTATGATTAAAAACATATATTTATCATAATTAATAGCAGCAATTACAAGTGTTAATCCCTTAACATGTTTGTCGGAAAGCCAGTTAGCTTGGTGTTATTCTCTCTTCTAAACAAAAAATACAAAAAATAAAAACAATTTTAGCGTTGCATTCGCAGCAGTGTGCAATGAGTTAGAGAGATAATTTATGGAAATCTCGTCTCCCTAGACCTCAGAAGTCCGCCTAATGAGAGAGTCATCAGTAAGATATATCTTTTTTAAAAAATCGAATCCAGACCAGGAGCGGTGCATTTCCTAACCTTTGGGGAGGAAGGCGGTGGCCTGGCGCCCTCCTTTGCCCTTCTGTTCTAAGAATTAAGAAGGATTTTGGCCTTTTATTTCGTTTGCAGCTGTGTGTGTTGCTCACACATGCAAGTGTATGTGTGTGCGTGAGTCTAGTCACTGTGCACAAACCTAAATACATTTGAATGTTTGCATTTTCATCTTGCTCCATACCTCGATGGCATCATGGGTATAGTGGTGCCTCAGAGGCTGCCTCATTTGCAAATGACCTACAATGTGATTTCTAAACAAAATATTACATTAATTTCTATGTGGAGAACAGGCAGTCAGGAGGGGGAGAAAGAAGAGGCAGCCATCTTGGAGTCATTTTGCCTTTTAGCCTCATTCTTTCTCTTCCTCAGGCTCCTGTAGTTAGAATATTATCTTTATTTTTAATTGGCCCTCCACACAAAGCCAGAGGCATAGACAAGAGACCTTTGTATTTGTGTTTGGAGCAGAAGAAAAGTTGTAACCTCTTTGGACTTTAAATAATAACTGCGACTACAGACAAACTACACCTATTATTCCCCACCCTTCTAAATAAATACACATCTAAATGAGGCATATGCCACAGCTGGGAAGAGACCTGCACAAAACCGATTAAGGGAAACAAATGTCTATTTGGGCCATTCATTTACTGCTATCTAAAGAATTAATATGTCAGGAAAGTTATCTGCCCTTCTCCTCCCCCGGTCTGTCTTTTCTCCCCAAACACACTCACTTGCAAGCCTACCCTCCCAAGCCTGCATACAAACACATTTGCAGACACACACACACACACACACACACACAATCTAGAAATGGCAACCCTGGAAACTGTTGCGTTGTGTGAGTTTTTTTTTTTAACCCAAAACCAAAACAGGAATTCCCTTTCTCTTAGATCATTGGCATTGAAGGAAGAGTAAACAAGACCAGCCTTTAGTTTTTGTTTTTGCTGTGATTTTCTGTGTGTAGAAAGCTGCCATGGCTCTAGGCTCTGTACTGCCCCAACACCGCTGTCATCACACTCACACTCTGACAACGTGGGTCTCATGCAATTTGTCCTAACTTTTCGTTTCAACCCTTGCTTTTCTCAATGTGGCTAGAGTTTAAAGACCGCAGAAGCAAAGGGAGAAGAAATACCCCTGCGGGGGCAAAAACAAACCAAGCCCTAGCCCGATGCTGGCATTCACAGCGCCGACATGTTCTCAATGTTTTCTCTGTGGTTATAACACAAAAGCGCTTTCTTTCCTGTTTTGATGTGTTAAAGACAGAAAGAGAGAGGACACTTCGAGGTGGTAAAATAAGTATTTGGAAAGCACAGGGACAGTACTTCTTCTTTGAATGTGCAGTTTGTGTCAATAACATGTAGTTACTCCATAGTTCAATATTAATTGATTTTTGAAAATGGAAAGGGGCCATCAAGTTAAATGTAAGCGCATTGTATCAGACCCACGGAACTTTTTGCTGTCACTGTGCCCTTCTTTTTTGGGGGTATAATTGGAAATGTGTCGGGAGTCAGTCATTCTAGCTCTGAAATCACAATAACAAGGATGCAGCAGTCCCTCTGAAAAGGCGTTGAGCAGACAGATAACAAATTATTGTCAAATCCTGATATTTGGCAAAAGAAACCATGAACTTTTACTCCTTCCATGTCAGTAATCTGCACTAATTTTCCTAGGCAATATCTTCAGCAAATTGTTATACTGAGCAAAACAAACAGGGCTTGGAAAGACAGACATGCCCTGGTTCCTGAACCCTCTCTTCCACTGTGACCACCAGGGTTTAGGAATTGAATCCTAGGGTCCTTTACAATTGCACTTTGGATCCTGGCTTTAAATAAAAAAAAGAAAAAAAAAACCCAAGGTTTAAACATGGAAGCATGACAATTTCAAAACTGGTGGAAGTTATACCACTGTCTTTATTTGTATCTAATTCATGATATGATAGATGTTCATAAGTAATGCCTTGCACAGAAAAGAAACGATCACTTCAACCACTCTACACCAATCCAAGCAAACTCCCCCCAAATATTTGGGATGCAATATTCTTAAATCCTTGTCATTAAAGGAACCAGAAGATGAGGAGAAGCCAGGGTCTTCTGGCTTTCTGAGTAACTGTAGCATTTGGCTTTATAAAGGTACTTGTGGGCATATTTGAAAATACAGCTCATGTGCTTACAAACTCACCCTAAGAAAGCACTACTTCCCTTTTTTTCCCAATTGCTTGCATCAAAAATCAGCCTCATTCTGTGTGGAAAAAGCAGAGGCCTCTGTGATACTGCGAACCTTTCTGTGTTTCAGCAAAGAAGTTGAGGCTGTTGGGTCAAAAACCCTCAAATTCTCAGGACCCAAGTTACTGGTGTTAAGGTTTCGTGCTTTGCTTTGTGAAGACGGATGCTGACAGACCTCTAGTTTCCTCTGGTCTCTGTCCTCTCTTTTGTGTATTTTCTTTATTTGTATAAACTGGCCCTGCCCTTTTCTTGCTAGAATGTTTCTGTGGGGTACCCTGTCCCTGACAGATTTTCATTCTCCTTCTCTGCAGCTTGTTTGCTGTTTGGAATCCTTGTAAAAGCTTTGCAGTTCAGACTCAACAGAGCTGGGACTTCTTTCCTACCCATCTTAACACACTCAGAGGTCACACCCATGTTTGTATCCTTCTTAGGAGAAAATTATGAAATCACATCACAGGCATCTGATACTAAGGGGCATGGCCTGCCCACACACCTTGCCCTCTTCCCCTTGGCCCTGTCTGCCCGGGAGAATGAATATACCGCATCCTCAAAGTTGATGCTTCGAAGTGACCAGTCAGATGTTGGCAGGTCAGCTGGCTGTCCCCTTGGACAGAGGGTCCATAAATCTGAGCAGTGTTGGTGTGGCTGAACGAGGAAGGAGTCCAGCCTCAGGGAAGCCATGTAAATCTCTTCTGCAGCTTTGTTCCCAGTAGGGAGCAGGGGTGAGAGTTGGGTAGCTCAAGGCTGTGGGCTGTTGTTAATGCCCAGGGCCCTCCTGCAGTGGGTGCTAACTTGTTGTGCATGAGAGCTGCCACCACCCTTCCCAAACATCGGCTGCTTGGAAAAGTCAAGCACGGCGGAGCCCTGATTTTCATTTAATAGTCAAAACCAAGATGCATTTGGGCTATGATGATAGGACAGCTCCCTTGAAAAGATTATTTGTACTACAAAGGCATTCATTTAGGGCTAGCAATGTTGCAAAAGGGCCTGCTAGAAATTAGCAGCCTGTCCTGGTATTTGGAGAGCAAGAGTGACAACTTATTGGAAGTTCTCAAGGAATCATTTATATTTCACACTCCACTAGGCAGCTGATTTGAGATTGTCTGTTAGCATAACAAAGGCTCTGAGCCTGTGAACTTCAGAAACCTTTCGACCTCTTAGCTGCTGGCATGAATAGCCCCCAGTCCTGCCTATAGAGATCTCCGAAAGCTCCCCTGTTCGTGGCTAAATTGTTAATCAGGGTAATTTAAT